AGATGGGTCCTACCTGCCTCAGTAGCAAAGTCCCATTCCGGCCTGGTTAAGGGAAAGGCCGCATCGATCTCATTAGGGAGCTGGGTAGGCTGTCCGTCCGCTCCCCTCACATTCTTCCGCGCCTCGAGGAGGACCCGCTGCTTCTCCTCAGTGGTCAGTAGCACCTGTAAAAGCTGTTGGCAATCGTCCCAGGTGGGTTGATGAGTCACTAGGACTGATTCTAAAAGGGAGATCAATTGCAAGGGATCTTTAGAAAAAGGAGGATTATTGTTTTTCCAATTATAGAGATCGGAGGCAGAGAACGGCCAATACTGCAGCTGGCCGTCCGGGCCGGTACGCAGAGGCAGGGCGGTGGAGTCCGCAGGGGCCTGTTCTCGTCGCCCCCTGAGGCGGCTTGCCATAGGTGAGGGGGCTGCCTCATCAGTCGCAGCGGGGCGTTCGGCAGGCATGGCTTCTGCCTCATTAGCCGCCTCGTGGGGTGCCTCTTGATATGGAGGCGGCTCAGACAGGAGATCCATAAGTAGAGTCTCTTCCCCTGCAGGCAGGACCTTAGGTTTGGGGAGGGGGGGCGCCTTAAGAGAGGCTTGCACAAGAGCTGGGTATAGGGCGGATCGGGAGTGGGTAGGGGCTGGGAGTGGGGTCAGGGGAGGGGGGAGAGAGGGTGCGGATGGTTTGGCAGACTTGGGGGAGAGAGGGACCACTCCGGAGAGAAACGGCTTGACCCATGCAGGCGGTTTCTGAACCAGAGCTTCCCAGGTGATGATGTAGTCCACCTGGTCAGGGTGTCCATGTGGCCCTGAGTCCATGACTTTTTCTTTTACCTGCCTAATGATGTCTAGGCTAAATGTGCCATCCCGAGGCCACCCGACGTCGAAGGTGGGCCATTTGGAGGCACAGAAAGCTACCCATTTCTTTTTGTGCACTTCAGCGGATTGGTTATGTGCATATTCCTGAATTTCTTTCCAGTGTTCGAGACTAAGGGACAAAGGGGTGGTAATTGCTTGTCCCATTTCTTCCGAAAGGACGAAGACACAAATACCAGTTACAAGAAACAAACACAGAGACAGACAAAGAAGTCGCGCGGCACGGCTTCAGCGCAAAACCGAAAGCAAATTCTCAGATGGGAGGGCAACCTGCCTCTCTCCCTCCCTCAGTAGGGCTGAAAATCCCTCTCCTTGAGGGACGGCTCCAAACAGGACGGAAAAATGCCTGAGCATAGACCCGTGAGAGCCAAAAATCAGACGCTCCTGGGACGCTCTCTGGTCATAGAAACTTCTTTTTTTAGTAATCAGTGGTAACTGTAGAGAGGCTTAAGTGAGCAAACTGGCTGTGGGGTGGATGGGGAAGAAGGCTGACTTCTCAGCAAGACGTAGCTGCTGCACTCTTGAACTCACAGCACCAGTGATTACCTACAAAACACGAGGCATGTCAACATCCTGCTATGGGGGAAGAAATGGGCTCAGAGTCCCCACCACCTCTGAGGATTTGTAAGCAGATAATGGCTGACTGGTTGCTGAGAAAGGGAAAAACATTTTCTTCAATGGTATAGCAGTTGGCCATGTTCCTTAAAGAAACCTTCTCCTATGCTCTGTAAATGGGCTTCATGGTAAAGTCAAGGCATCACTCACCAAAAGAAGTAGAAGGGGAACTAGTGGATAAAAGGAGGGAAGTTAGCAGGAGGGACCTCAAAAGAGGGTAGTGAACAACGAATATGATCAAAATACATTAGCTACATGTATGAAAATGTCATATGTCACCCCATTATTATATATAATTAATATGTACTAACAGAAAAGTTAAGGAAAATATCTCTAACTTTTCAAAAGTATGATCTCACTGAAATAATTTCAGGAATCATGTTACATTGTAAAGATGCACTGCTATTCTTAGTTTTTGAGAATTGTATAAATAATCTCAAGGGGCTTAGGGTTGAGCAATAAAGGAATGGCTAGAGTCTTTTTACAAAAACACGGTGTGATTTGACGTTGCCTGTCAGTGACCTCTGTGAGTTCTTGGCATGGCATGTGCCCAAAGAAGGTGGCATCCATGGGGTGGGTAATCATGTTCAGACATGTTCAGATCTGGATCAGACATATCAGAATGAAATGTGAGGGGAGTGGATGCTGTTAACCCTGCAGGAAAAGCTGATTTAAGCAGAGAAAAATGGGGGGAAACAGTGCAAAGCGTGGTATCAGGACAGCATGCGCAGAGCCCACTGTCCTCAGACAGCATGCGCAGAGAGAGCCCACCGTCCTCAGACAGCATGCACAGAGCCCACTGTCCCAGAATCACTGTGAGCAGAAGTGAACCTGGCTCTTCAGATGCTGATCCTGGGAGCCTAGGAGCCCTCCTTTTCCGAAAACCGACTGCTGTCCTTGCTGTCTGACATATAAAATGCCAGAGAAAATGCTGTCTCTTTTCTATTTTCAAGTCATAAATAACGCTTGTTTCTTAGGAAAGATTGTCTAACAGAGTTATTGCCCCTTTGAACAAGCCACAGACCTGGTCTTTAAGAACCTTCCTTGAAGATGTAAGAAATTTCCAGCCACTCTGATTTTAGAGCCTGGGGTTGAAAACTGTCAGGTGTGATCAATGGATGCCTGCTCTCCCAGGTCGGAACCCCTAAACATGAGGCGGCTGCAGCTACTAAAGACACCAGTTCTCACTGTGATAAAACACTTCTCACAAAAACATGGGGAGGAAAGTTACAGTAATCAATGAAGCCACAAAGAGCCACAGAAAGACTAAGTACTATATAAACTTGCTTATGTATGGAACCCAAAAATGGGGTTTCAGCAAAGTTGAGTGGCGATGAAGGAAGGGTTGGAGAAAGGTTGTTTAGTGACTACTAAAGATACAGGTGGCAATGGCAATAGGATAATCATCAGCCTTTTACAGGTTAATTTTTAGTGAGGGTTGCCTGTATGTATGTTAATGCACTACATGCATGGAGTGCTCATGAGACCAGAAGAAGGCATCAGATCCCTAGAAATGGAGTTGCAGATGGTTGTGAGCCACCATGTGATGCTGGGAAGTGAACCCCGATCCTCTGCAAGAGCAGTCAGTGCTCCTAACCACCGTGTTGTCTCTCCACGCAGTGGCTAACAATATTGACGATATGTATGATACTGATTTTAAAATTCTAGAAAAAGGAATTTCATTATTGAGGAAAATACATAAATGATGCTTTGGTGACTTAAGTCATGATACACATGACAACATACACACGTGTCAAAATATCACAGGGTACCCCAAGTATGTGTAATTGCATGCTTTTATATGTCAGTTAAAAATTGCTTTCAACAGCAACAACAAAAGGAGCCCTGATGGTCAAGCTTGTTGAGGCTAACACTGTGGAATTTACCAAAGAGAAGATTAAAAATCTACAGGTAGTGTATGAACCAAGCTTCCCAGCAAAAAAAATAGTCAGAATAAACACACATGCACACACACGTACGTTCGTACATACGTACATACATACATACATACATACATACATACATACATATACACACAAAGACACACATGCGCTGGGTGGTGGTGGCGCATGCCTTTAATCCCAGCACTTGGGAGGCAGAGGCAGGCGGATCTCTGTGAGTTTGAGGCTAGGCTGGACTGACAGCCTCCAAAATAGAACAGAGAAACCCTGTCTTGTAAAACCAAAAAAAAAAAAAAAAAGACACGCATGCACACACAAACAGACATGAAGGGGAATGCACTCTCTCCCTCACACACACAGACACAGACACAGACACACACACACACACACACACACACACACACACCAAAAGATGCCCTGGAATCAGTGAACTTGTTACTTTATGTGAAAAGGGGGATCTGAAGGTGTGTTTACATCAATGATCTTAAGATCAGGAGGTTACCCTGGTTACCCTGATTAAATCACAAGATTTTTTTAACCAGACAGGCAAGAAAGTCAGAGTCAGGAGAGCAATGGAATAAGGTGAGTTCTGGAAAGGAGGCAACTCCTAAGTGCGGGAAAAGGTAAGGAATGAGAGTTCTAGCCTGGACTCTCCAAAGAAAGCTTCGCCTGCAGAAAGCTACTTTGAATTTCCAACTTCTAGCACTTGGTGAAGGTGTAGATGTGACTGTTTTAAGTCATGCTGCTGGTGGCACTTTGTTGTTGCTGCAGTAAGAAACTAATACTGTGGACCACACTTGACCTTAATCTCTTCTATTTTCCTCATTTACTATTTCCCACATCAAATAAAATAAAATAATGCCCTGACAATTTTTAAATAATCTTTTTATTTTTCTCTTTTGGGGGAACTTTGGGAAATCTTTATTCATTCTAGTGAGATGTTACAGATAACCGCTTCTTTGCATTTCTAGATAAAAATAGAACGAATGTGTTTTCTAAAGAAGGAGGAATTACTTGAGATGCCACGAGGCTGGAGATGTAGCTCGGCTGGCAGAGTGCTTGTGTGGCATGCAGAAAGGTCCAGGTTCAGTTCCCAGCACTGCATAAATCAGCTAGGCCAGCATGCTCCCATAATCCCAGTAGTGAGGAGGCGGCAGCAGGAATGCTTGCCACCATTCTGAGCTAAATGAGACCTGTCTGAAAAGCAAAATAAAACCCAGACACCATGCTGGGTATTTTGTACCTATGCCATCTTCCCAAATGACCCTGCCTCTAATTCTCAGCCAAGGGCACTGATGATCAAGAAGTCACACTACTCATGTGAACTGGCCACCAAAGCTGGGTCATGAGACCCACACTTCCAGCTCCTCCCACTGAGACTGCTAAAGCACTCACACAAAGCAGTAAAATGCCAACAGTAGACAGACAGCCAAGATTTGCAAGAAATAGCCATTTAGGAGGCAGGCTCCACGCCCTGGAAGGGCACAGGTGAAGGAACAATTTGACGCACAAAATCTTTTTGAAGGTGTCATCATGCACTCTCCCAACTGCTTCTTCTCTGGGGCAAAACCCAACTGAAAGTGCATGCCACCATTCTGATGCCTTTCTAATCTCCTTATAGGGGTGTTTGCATTTGGACTTTTTGCTACTGACATTTTTGTAAACGCCGGGCAAGTGGTCACTGGCCACCTAACACCGTACTTCCTGACGGTGTGCCAGCCAAACTACACGAGCGCAGACTGCCGGGCACACCACCAGTTCGTCAGCAACGGTAACATCTGCACTGGGGACTTGGAAGTAGTAGAGCAGGCTCGGAGGTCCTTCCCGTCCAAACACGCTGCTCTGAGCATTTACTCCGCCTTATACGCCACGGTGAGTATGTGAGTCTCACTGCCTCTTCAAGTTGGGACTTCGCTGGGACGCGTCTCTCACCCTTTCCACCAACATTCTGCCATCCCTGTCACCTAGCGATTCTTAAAAGTCACGTAAACTGCGTTCCTCTTGCATCTCATCGCACCACTGATAAGAATTCCCTCCCTCCTGAGCCACTCCTAATCCTAACTGTCCCCGAAAAACTTAGTTTGGAAAGAGATTTCATAGTCCCCCCCCCCCCGCTTACACCCTCCCAGTTTGCAGGTGGGAGACTAAGGCCTCGGGAATGTCTAAGAACACACAGCCAGAGAGCTGTGGCCAAGCTCCTGGCGCTGTCTGGGATTTTCTCACCACTGGCACAGTTTTAGTTGGTTCCATGATCTTCCTCATGGCTGGGCTTTCAGGCGTGGACCTCAGTGCGTGACTGATTTCACAGTGTGCATCCCAGGGTTAAGCATACCTGTCCTGCGCTTCTTGAGGCATGCTTTAATGCTTTGTGAAGAGCTGGATAATTCTAGAATTTAAGACCTCAAATGTCACTTCCCGCCTCTCCCCAGATCGTACCACCTTTGATTGTCTTGGGAATTATAACCTAGAAATATATAGTTTATTTTTAATTATAAATAATAACAATCATTAGCTACCATTATTATAATTGTTAATGTTGTTGTAGTTAATAATTAATTATTTATTTATTTTGCTCTCATCGGAGGAAAAGCAATGGTGTTTCCTTATTTTTATACATTTTAACTAAAGCCCATGTTTGAAATGTCATTTTTCATCTTTCTTTAATCTAGCTTCCCTTGAACCCAGAACTCAGAAGCATGACTGCTGGCTTGGCCACACAAACAGCCGATACCACAGGTCACTGGTGCACTTTACCAGGGGAAGTAGCCATTGGCCAGAGGGACCCCTTAGTGAGCCCGAGTGGAGCATAGAGAAGAAAGACAGAGCTGTCTCCTTTCAAACCACCCAGATTTTCTTGGATACCCTCATCTTACTCCCTCAGCCCCATCTGCAAGGGGCAGCATCCCATTCTCCACTCAGTCACTGTGGGAGGCACATTCGGCCTCTGTGCAGCTGAGTCTAGCCCTGTCTCCACCTGGGCCTCACCTGCAAACGTGTAGGCAGACCCGAGACTAGTGTGCTGATCTGCAGTTTCTCCAACTGTTGCCTGAATGCTCTCCTCCTTGCGGCTTGGAGCAAGTAAAGCTGCTGAGTCTTTACCACAGATCACCGTCGGTGTCCATGACCATCCTGCCTAGCCAGCCAGTTTCCTAGTTAATCCTTTGGGATCTTTTATGTGATGACTTCATGGCAAAATAAATCCAGCTGCGTCCAGGTTAAGGACACACAAACACAGAGAGTATGAATCAGTTGTCGCCTGGTTAGACGTCTTCTTTTCTTTACAAAGCAAAGAGGGAAAATAGGCCAGGGATCCTCTGGGGGCATTTCGTGTGTTTTCTGATTTTCAGAATATTGATTTGTTCTGAAACTATCTAGAACATAATTTGTATAAATCCATGTGCTTTTTGACCCCAGTTTTTGTATTTTTATCAGATTCAAGTCACTAAATTAATTTAGATAACACCGTTATAGAAATAAATCAGTAATTTAAACCAGTGTGTCATCATCAAATGAGACAGCAGAAAAAATCAGATATAACAGGTGCACATGGCATGCGATGCAGACATCATCCGAAGATTTGGATATCAACCCATTCAAATCAGGCCTTAGATAAACCCAGACACAACATTCCAACTAAGTAAACAGTTTCTGTTGTGTGTTAGATTAAGCTTTCAGGATTACTCTAGCCTGGTGGATATGCTAATTGCCAGAACTTGACCATTCCACGGTGCAGAGAAATATTGAAACACTACACAGCACACATAAATATCTGCAGTTATTGTGTGTCAAATAAGAAGAAAATGCTAATGAAAACATTATTTGACTGTTGCTTCCTAGGCTCCAGTTAATACAGTAAAGAATATCAACCAGGTGTCTATGTTCTTAATGGTTAATATTTTTACAGGAAATATTCATAAAATACATACCTAGAAAGCAATATAGAAGCATAAAAAATCAAATTTAACATATGTATTTGCATTTAGTGTCTTAAGAAACAATTCCCACAGTGTCAGAATACTATAGTATGTTACAATCTGCGTGATTTTGGTCTACCAGAGTTTTGTGCGGCACCTGCTAACTAGGATAAAGAGGCTCCTTTATCCCACCAGGATTCATGTTAGTATTGAAGCAGCTCCATAAAAGTTAGCCTCCCATGTAATCTTGCCAGATACATCTATGCGAATATATTTGTGCTCAGGGTATCAAATATTTTATAGACTATAATCTTAAACGTCAGCCTTTCCTTGTGCCTTTTTAGGGTTACTGAACTCACTATATTTGATAAGGAATGAGGAGACAAATCTGTAGTCCCTGAACCCACATGGGAGGATTGTAGTATGTTTAAGGCCAGACTGAGTTACATAGAAGTCCATCCAAAAGGAAGGGGAGACATGACGGGTCACTAGTGTCCTCTGCTGGTGTGTTATAGCAATTATCAAAGTGATCTAATTTGCTGGAAGCACGTTTCTTAATTGCAGACCATCAGGAGGTGATCACAGCATCTATAATAACATTTGATAACAATAGCCCACATTTCGAGAGTCAGAGAGCACATGTTTTACTTGGTTCAGAGCCTTCACTCTTTCGTACGTTGTGGTACACAGAGAAGTCTAGTGTTTTTAAACACTCTGAAGTAGACAAATGGATAGAGCAGACCACAGTGTCTCTGGCGTGAGAATCAACTTCCAGCACAGCAGTGACCTGTAGTCAGGATTGCGTCATTCAAATTAGGCCCATCGGTCAGTTGGCGAACAATTTTATATCATGGTCCCAAAGTGTGGGACAGCAAAAAGTAAAATGTGAAGTCTCTCATCTACCTGGTATCTTCTGCCACAAACTCATTCAAATAAAAGATTTAACTGGTACCCAAGATTTTTATATATATATTTAATAGAACCACACAATTCTCTGGTTCTTTACATAAACACTGCGTGTTCTGAACCCGGCCACTATCCTTCAGTTACCCCTTCTGTCAACATAGCTTCTGTTCACAAACTCATTACGACGCAAAAGTGATTATGAACACACGCTCATTGTCATTGCTTCACTGTTTCCTTACTAAGTAGCTTAATGAAGTGGTCCAAGGAGATGTAGTTGCCATGGTTCCCTTTGTCAAGGCCCTGTTCCGACCTGGGACATGAGTGCATTCATGTGGATGCACCAGCACAAGGACTGGTGAAACTCACTGCTCTCTCTCCCACTGCAGATGTACATCACAAGCACAATGAAGACAAAGAGCAGTCGGCTGGCCAAGCCAGTGCTGTGTTTGGGGACCCTCTGTACCGCCTTCCTGACGGGCCTCAACCGGGTCTCAGAGTACCGGAACCACTGTTCGGATGTGATCGCCGGGTTCATCCTGGGCACCGCAGTAGCCCTGTTCCTGGTAGGTCAGCCTCCTCTCCACTTCATCCCTTTTATGCCCTCTGTATAAAGTCATAGTGCACTGAGTTTCCCAGATTCCAGTCTGAGTTATTGCTCCTCAGGTTCCTTTATTCTGAGCTGTTATTGTCCAGATAATATGCATGTTGTTTCTGCAAGAGCAGAGTAAGGGCACCTTACTTTGAGAAATATGACTGGCCATTCCCCTTGAGAGAGTCAAGGAGATTACTATCCCCAAGAAGGCTATGTTTTGTCTTCGAGCTTTAAGCTTGGTACCATAGTGTATCTAGATATAAGTGTTTGAGTATTTGCTGTCAATGCATAGGACTCAGGGCTGCACATTTCTAAGCAATGCATGGAGGATGAAGACCACTGGTGACTCAGGCTCTCTCCTACAGCACTGCAAAAAACAAAAACAAAACTGTATCTGGACCCACGAACTGTCTAAGTGTACATGTATATGCCATCTCAGAAGTATAGAAACTCTATAGATAATTATTCACCTTTTAAAGACCCCTTGGCATCTTATTTCAGCTAAGTGGTGTCTATATTTGTGCCCCCTTGAAGAATTTTGGCAAAAACAGCTGCCTCTGTATCATCACAGCTCTGATGATGTTTTAGCTCTTCAAAGAGATAGAGAACTAGCTATATGCTCTTCTGGAAAACCCCTTAATCTAACTAGGACTGGAAAAGAATAATCTATGATCATTTTTATCTTGTTCGAACACTGTATCATTGAAGTGTGGTAGAGATATGGTGGTGTACACTGTCCAATGTGATGAAGTTGACATCTCTCTTGCTTTTGCTTTACCCTTCACCTCAGGAAATGATTGCGGTTTAATTTTTTTCTACATTTGGATTTCACATAAATGAAGTCACACAATATTATTTTCTGACATTTTACTTCCATTATAATTTATATTTGGAGACATATTCAGGTTGTATAATGTAACAGTAACTCATTTCTTTTTTATTGCTCTGTAGTGTTATATTTCCTGGACATAACAGAGATGCCAGTTTTGTTCTTTGGTTATTTGTTTTAACAGTAGGTTACCAGGCATATGAACTCACATTCTCTGCATAAAATAAAGCCATTGCCAATAGCAAGATCCCACCCAAAGAGAAGAGGTCACTAAAATCTCCAAGGACCTGCCACCCATTCTACTCTGTCCTAATACTCCAAGCCCATTTAAGACTGACATCATGCTGCATTCCAGTGCCTGGGGACTGCCACAGAGCTTCCCATCCTGGCAGGAGCCAAGCAACCCAGATCCAAGGTCATCTCTTCCACCAACAGGAACAGGGGACCAGGTGGGAGACTATGCACCCCAGATTCCTGGGCTTCTTCTCCACCCACAGGAGCAGAATTAAGATGAGGAAAAGAAGAACTACTTGCTTGCACCCAATGAATGGGAACACTGGTCCCCTAACCACCAGACCAGTAAGGGGCTCTTTCTGCACCCACTATAGAAAGAGATGGGAAGGAGACAAAACAAAAACAGAATCAGCAACAGAAAAATAAATATGATAACTCCAGATTCCAGAGACTACACACCAGCAAGACTCCAACATTCCAATGCAAATGAAGCAGAAGAGAATGACCTTAAAAACAACTTCATGAAAATGATAGATGCCCTAAAAGAGGATATAAGAAAATTCCTCAAATAAATGCAAGGAAAAGCAAACCAAAAAAATGCAAAAAATGGAAGAAAAAACAAACCAAAGATGCAAGAAATGGAAGAAAAAGCAAACCAAAAAATGCAAGAAATGGAAGAAAAAGCAAACCAAAAAATGCAAGAAATGGAAGAAAAAGCAAACCAAAAAATGCAAGAAATGGAAGAAAAAACAAACCCAAAAATACAGGAAATGGAAGAAAACGCAACTCCAAAATAAATGCAATAAATGGAAGAAAAACAAACCAAAAAATACAAGAAATGAAGCCGAGCATTGGTGGAGCATGCATTTAATCCCAGCACATGGGAGGAAGAGGCAGGTAGATCCCTGTGAGTTCGAGGCCAGCCTAGTCTACAGAGCTAGTTCCACAACAGCCTCCAAAACAATACAGAAAAACCCTGTCTCGAAAAAAAAGCAAGAAATGGAAGAAAAAAACAGCCAACAATTTCATAAGATGCAGCAAATGGACCAAAATACAAACCGAAAATTGCAAGAAACAAGTCAAACAGTGCAAGGGTTGAAAATTGAAATAGAGACAATAAAAAACACAATCTGAAGAAAGTCTGGAAATAGAAAAGCTGGGCAAATGGTCAGATACTACAGATACAAGTATTACCAACAGAATACAAGGGATGGAAGAGAGAATCTCAGGTGTTGAAGATACACTAGGAGAAATGGATTCATCATCCAAAGAAAATTTTAAGTCCAACAAATCCCTAACACAAAACATCAAGGAAATATGGGACACCATGAAAAGACCAAACCTAAGACTAATAGGTATAGAAGAAGGTGAAGAAAACCACCTCAAAGGGGCAAGAAACATATTCAACAAAATCATAGAAAAAACTTTCCCAACCTCAAGAAAGACATGCCAATGAAGGTACAAGAAGCTTACAGAACACCAAACAGAGTGGGTCACAAAAAGTCCCCTCACCACATAATAATCAAGACCCCAAATATACAGAATAAAAAAAGAATACTAAGAGTAACTAAGGAAAAAGGCCAAGTAACATATAAAGGCAAACCTATTAGAGTTACACCTGACTTCTCCATGGAAACTCTGAAAGCCAGAAGGTCCTAGATAAATCTTCTACCAACATTAAGAGACCATGGATGCCAGCCCAGACTACTATACCCAGCAAAGCTCTCAATATAGATGGAGAAAACAAGACATTCCATGACAAAACTAGATTCAAGCAATACATATCTACTAACCCAGCCCTACAGAAAGTTCTGGAAAAAAACTCCAACCCAAGGAAGTGAACTACAACCAGAAAAATATTAGGCATTAGGTAATCCCACTTTACCAACAGCCAAAAGAAAAAAGGGATGGAATTCCACACATAATTCCAACAACAACAACCATTACAACTCGAAGAAGAAGAGCAATCAATGGTCATTAATATCCCTCAATATTAACTCACCCATAAAAAGGCACAGGCTAACAGAAAGGATTCAAAGAAAGAACCCATCCTTCTGCTGCACACAAGAAACACACCTCACCCTCAAAGACAGACATTACCTGAGAGTTAAAGGTTGCGAAAAGATTTTCCAATCAAATGGACCCAAGAAACAAGTGGGGGTAGCAATCCTAATATCTAAAAAAATTAGACTAAAGTAAAATCAATCAAAAGAGATGAAGGAGGTCATTACATACTCATCACAGGTGAAATACACCAAGATGAAGTGTCTATCATGAGCATCTGTGTCCCAAATACAAAGGCATCCACATTCATAAAAGAAACATTACTAAAACTTAAATCACATATAAAGCCCCACACACTATAGTGGGAGACTTCAACACCCCACTCTCACCACTAGACAGAAATACCAGACAGAAACTCAACAAAGAAGCAAAGGGTCTAATAGAAGTAATGACCCAACTGGGATTAACAGACATCTATAGAACAATTCATCCACATAAAAAAGAATATACCTTCTTCTCAACACCACATTGAACCTTCTAAAAAATCGACCACATACTTGGCAGCATATCAAACCTCAGCAGCTACAAAAAAATTGGAATAACTCCATGCATCTTATCAGACCACCATGCATTAAAATTAGAATTCAACAACAACACAAATTGCAGAAACCCTAAAAACTCATGGAAATTGAATAATGCACAGCTGCACCATTCCTAGGTCAAATAGAAAAAGAAATTAAAGACTTCCTAGAATTCAATGAAAATGGAGACACAACATACCCAAACCTATGGGACACTTTGAAAGCAGTGCTACGGGGGAAGTCCATAGCACTAAGTGCCCACATGAAGAAACTGGGGAATAGCTATACTAGAGAATTAACATCACAGCTAAAAGCTCTAGAACACAAAGAAGCAAACTCCCCCAGGAGGAGTTGACGCCAGGAAATAATCAAACTGAGGACTGAAATCAATAAAGTAGAAACTAGGAAAACAATACAAAGAATCAATGCAACGAAGAGTTGGTTCTTTGAGAAAATCAACAAGATAGACAAACCTTTGTCCAAACTTACCAAACAGCAGAGTGTGAACATCCAAATTAACAAAATCAGAAAAGATTTTGGGCTGAGTCCTTGCTAAGTTTGGTACTCAAGAGGCAAAATAGTATAGTGATGGGAGTTTGAGCAATTTAAACTTTGCCTGTTCAAGTAGCACCTCACTTCTTGCTGTTGGAAACTGTTGACTGGACTAACAAAAATGAGACAAAATCCCCAGGACTCTGCCAGACACACAGCTACCCTCAGGGCATGTTTGCTTTGATTATGAGGTGACTTACATTTGTCATACTGTCACAAATCTATATGATAAGTATTCCCTTTCCCATGTGACAGCTGAAGAGATGAGCTCTGTGGACTAGCTGTCCCCAGTGAATTTGCCTCATCATTACATACAGTATGCTCATCACACTTCAAGCCTCCCTCACTCTTGGTCTCCCATAATTCCAAGGAAATATATCACCACCACATTGATATTCAAGGACAGAAGTGTGCCATACTCAGAGATAACCAGACATTGCCCACTGAAGACTGACCCCAATCTCTGCACATCCCCCACCCCCGCCTCATCCTGCAGGGAATGTGGTAGTTCATAACTTCCCACTAGAGTCTGACCCCAATTTCTGTTCCTCCCCATCCTGCAGGGAATGTGTGTGGTTCATAACTTCAAAGGAACACAAGGCTCTCCTTCTAAACCCAAACCTGAGGATCCCCGTGGAGTTCCCTTGATGGCTTTCCCAAGGATAGAAAGCCCTCTGGAAACCTTAAGTGCACAGGTATAGTTAAGTGACTTTAGCAAGCATGATCTTGGCAGGTTGTTTACATAAACTTGAGAACGTGCTTAGTGTTATTTAGATTTAGGATACTTTGGCCTCTATTGTGCAATCACATTCATGAAATTTGAACTATTCATATGGGAATCCAGTTTGACTAACAACTGAGTTGTTTCTTGTGTAATTCTGTTTTCCTTTGGGATGGGGTGGGGGTAAGGGAGAATATCCAAACTTCCAGGGGATGTAAAAATTCCTAATATAGTATGGCATGATGTTTGCATGGAAATTGCACAGAAACTCATATATGCATTTATCTCTGCTTTGCTTGCCATACCTACAACAATGTAAACACTGTGTAAATAGCTGTTAGACTGAACTGGTGAGGGAATACTAGCATGGAGACAATGTTGTATACATCCAGGCTCCTAGATACTTGTCATCTGATTTACAAATTCATGGATGTAGAATCCATGAATAAATGGAAGGACAACTGTGTTTAGAAGGACAAACACTTTGTTCAATCTAGTGACAAGTGACTCAACTAGAGGTTGACAACAATCACAAATTCAGCTTCACAACACTTTCTGGTTAGGTGTTCTACAAGACCTTTTAAAAGGTTTTGTTCAAAGCTGGGCATTGGCGGCACACACCCTTAATCCCAGCACTCAGAAAGCAGTGGCAGGTGGATCTCTGTGAGTTCAAGGTCAGCCTGGTCTAGGGATTGAGTTCCAGGACAGGCTCCAAAACAATACAGAGAAAGCCTGTCTCAAAAGAAAGAAAGAAGGAAGGAAGGAAGGAAGGAAGGGAGGGATGGAGGGAGGGAGGGAGGGAGGGAGGAAGGAAGGGAGTAAAGAAGGGTTTTGTTTGAACACTCCTCTTTCCAGTTATCTAGAATCCTACAAAATGAAATGATTTTCTGTAATATTCTGCTCATCTTGAAACATAAGGGGTAACACTGTACTTCCTGTTGGGATTATTAGATATTTCTCACCATTTAGACATTGGCTGTTAAAAATGTTATGTCTTTGGACCTTTAATGAAGTCTAATTTTATAAGTGAATGGGGGGGGCAATGAGACTCTTGCCCATTGTGAGAAACTATGTAGTTTTACAATTAAACCCAGCACCAGGCATGTTCAGCTTCTACTTCTTTATCTCCCATTTTAATAGTCTAATTAGAAATTAACATATGAGGAAAGTATCTGATGTTTTTTTCAGACCTCTACAGGCATCAGGCATGCACTTGGTACACATACAAACATGCAGATAAACACTCAGACACATACAAATAAGTCAATTTAAAAAGAAATATTTGCCTGGTTGCACAGATGTATCAGTCTAAATGTGGCTACTGTGCCCTGAATATCCTGGTCAAGGAATAATGTCATCTATCTGCTCATATCAGTCAGGCATTAGCTTCTTCTGTGGTTTTTCTCTTCTTCTTCAAGACCATTCATTCATAGTTGACTAGGAAAACAAATTCCTAGGACATAGTCTGAAGGTTTCACACTGAAAAGTGAAGTACTAAACCCTTTCAGATATGATTGTTCCCTGTAGACACAAAAGATACTTGAGTATCTACATCAAGAATAGCAGTGAGATTATAAATAAATTCACTGTGCAGTAGAGATCGAAGCTGAACCTCTCCCAAGCCTGCCTCTGTCTATATATCTATGTATGTGACTCCTTGTCTAGAAAGGATCTCAGGCCTCATGAATACCAAGCTTGGGCAGAAGGTCCTTCTGGGTCAATCATATGATTTTCCCTTACAATTAGATAATGTTCCCTCACATTTATGTGCCTCATGGAATTGGTGACCTTTAAGGATCAGGACTCTAAGATCCATGTTTTATGTGCCTTGTTTCCTGACTGGATGGATGGAAGCAAGCCGGAGTCAAAACCTCAACTACATCCCTCAGTCAAAAACCAAGAAGCTCAGGTCAGGCCAGAATCACTAGCTCTGCTCTCATTACTGTGACAAATGCAGACGTGAGAGAAACAATGGGAGGACTTCTGCAGGGAAGTCACAACAGGGCTACAGGAAGCAGGGGAATGGGGGGAGTACTGGCCATGTTGTATAGTCCATACCAACCGTGGGCAATTGGAGAAGGCAAGCACTGCTTTTAGTAGAAAATGTTTCCACAGAGATAGAAAGATAACATCCTTTTTAGTTGTTGTTCAAGAAAGAGAAGGAGCCGTCAGAGAGTCCTTGCCTGTCGCTCTCACAGTACCCTGTAAATGGTGTGACTGTTTTAGAAAGAAGGACATGCTTAAATAACACAGATTGAAACATGCTTGAAACACAGATCCATCTAACGCCGAAGGCCCTGCGTGTTCTGCTGTAGCATACAGCCTCATCTTTCATTCCAGCAAACTTCCTTTTCTAAAGCCTACCTCCCTCAGGCTTGAGTACAGAAATGTGATGTAGGAGATGTACACTCAACCTGAACTAGTCTTCCAAAATAAGTGTCTTCCACGTTCTTTCTGGGCAAGAGTCTCCTGTACCATACCTGATGCCAGAGTTAACAGTACAAGCTACTGCTTTGTGTTTGGGTGAATGGAAACACATTCCAAGAGAGGAACTGTGGAAATTTCACAGACAGAACATACTTACACACATGGAATCCACCTGCCATTCAGAATCTTGGGAGAAGCAGCCTCCCCTGGTCTGGAACAAGGCACCTCCTTTGCCTCCCCCGGAACACTTTTCCCTTTGCTTCATGGAGCCTTCCTCCTTAAAACCCGTGTTTGATATCTGCATTCTACATTTCCCGCTGATACTGATGGTTAAGACATGGCCCAGTATACATAAAAATAGAGTAAGTCACCATAGAAAACTCAATCAGAAGAGATCAAGTTTTCCAACCATCATTGTGTGGGCCTATAGAGTTACTAAATGACCCCAAAAGACCATTTTTCACCTAACCACACTCTACAACCAAATGTCCATATCACCCTAACAAAAAATCTAATTTAGAAAAGAAGCAACTTGTTAACTCCCTCTGCATATGGCAGTGTATCCCTGTCTTCTACTTGTGAGGAGAACTCATGGTTTTCTCTAATTCATACAATAAAAGAAGACTAATCCAATTGGTAACAAGACTGTAGATGCCTAGACCACTACCACCCCCACCTAGGAATTTTAATTCAGCATGTGCAGAGTGAAAAAACAGAAAAAAATGTTTCCAGTACATTCTGATGCACTTTTGATTCAGAATTAGTACTAACTCAAACTTTATATTATAAATAGAAAAAAAGTAGTCAAAGTCACCCATCTGATTGTCTTGAGATACTGAATGATTTCATCCTTATAACTTAATATTACATAGTATTATATAAACACATGGATTATCCAAGCATTAACAAAAATGAGAAAGTGGACTTGGTTCCCAGAACCCACATGGTGACCTATGGCCACCTGTAACTCCAGTTCCAGGGGATCCAACACGCTCTTCTGATCTCTGCAGGCACTGCATACATTTGATGTCCAGAGATATACACAGGCAAAACACTAAGGCACATAAAAAATAAAAAGTCTTCCTTAAGGAGAATTATGGACTATAGCTCAGTAACAGGGTACTTGTCAGGCTAGCATGAGGTTCTAGGTTCAACTCTAAGTGAAATTAATGAATTAATTAATGTGAATTGTACAAAAGAAAGTTATTTTTCATCTTGTAGAAATAAATCCATCAAAGTTCAATTAGCACAACTTGAAAACCAAATCCTCAGCTTTTAAAATATATACCTCAGGGTTTAGAGCACTGACTCAGTAATTGTGAGTACTTGTTATTCTGGCAGAGGACCAGAATTCTGGTCCTGGAACCCAAGTCAGGTAGTTCACAATAGCCTTGGCTGGTTATGGGATCATGAGCCGGGAGTAAAGTGCAATAGCTGTGTTCTTGCTCCATTAGCCTCAAATCTGCAGCTCCAAGAAACCCAATGCCCTCTTCTGACTCCCTGATAAACACATGAACACACATACAAACATATACACATGTACACACATAAAATAAAATAAATATTTTTAAATGAGCAACTGATCTCCCAAGAGTATGTCTCCAGCGTCCTAAAACAAAGATCAAAACATCCTCTACTAATGAGATGAAAACCACAATTTCCTTAAGTATTTACCAATCTCATGGGTCCATGATTTTAAGTTTAAACAAAGGACAAGACTTTGGAAAACACATTAGCAAGTTTTGTAAATGAAATGTGACAGAATTACAAGGAAGAATACATACATTTGAAGTAGCATACTTATACCACATTTCAGGGACAAGCAAGCGACAGAATACAATAAGGATGCAGATGTCTAATAATATTCATTTACATTATACATGAAATTTTCTCTGAACACATAAAGCATCTTCATATAAATATATAAAATGGTCATGTGCAAGATCAGGAAGCAAGTCTTAGGAAATTTTAGGGTCGGTGAGATGACGTAGGAGGTAAACGTACTCGTCACCAAACCTGGTGACCTGAGTTCCTGGGACTCACAAGGTGGAAGAAGACTATCTCCTACAACCTGTCCTCTGACTTCCACATGTGTGTGGTCACACATTTGCAGATGCAGACACGTGCGCAGGAATGAAATCTCATTTAGAAATATGGAAAAGGACATTTTAAACACTCTTCTTCACCATATATACCACGCTCCCTGTAGGTTAACTAAAGTCAAATGAAAACCCCTCCATCCACTGGAGAATACTAATTTTAGTTCCTCAGACCTCATGACCCAAAGAACAGGTCCTATCGGCAAGTCCAGCTGGAATTCAGTATTTAAAACATTTCAAAGGTACGGAATATAACTGTCACTTTGAAATCTTTAAATACTTACATTAAAACACTAAGGATGTGTTTACATGAAGAAATGATTCTACTTTGGTTGGAAATGCTGAAGGAAGAAGTTGAGAGGTCTTGGAAGAATACATTAAGGGGAAATAATTGGTGTTGTTTTGTTTAGGGGACTGTCATGATTTGTTTGAGAAACAACATGAAGTTGGGTAGGTAGATAGGGGGAAGAATCTGGGAGGAATTGGGGGGAAGGGAAACTAGGATCAAAATACATTGTATGAAATGTTTAAAATATTAAAAATTAAAAAATAAAACGACCAGTGAACTTTGGCCTGAAAGACATCTCAGGAACTATGAGAGTGTATCATCAGCCCAGTCCTGAGCATCTACCTGTTTCTTACTCTACAGAATCACTCGGCCTCCATGACTGAAGTCACCTGAGATGAATGAAGAGATGCAGTTGTAACTGGTTTCTTTTTTTTTCCTTCAACAACCTTCCAGTTCAATGCTTCAAAACACACAGTGACTCAAGTCAAACTGTGAAGACAAGTATTACATTTATCTAGTTAGATGCTAATGTTTTGTACATTTTTGTATTAAAAAGTGATGTAGCTTGCCCTGATCTTTTTTGTCAGTTTTAATATATTTATGCCAGAATTTTAAAACCAACAAAAAATTCCTCTTGTTCAAGTGTGCATTGAAGAATCACATTTATTCAATGGTTGATGTTGTTTTGTGATATTTGTACACAAACCTTTTCTCAGTTTTATAGACACAAATAAAGTGAATGATCCACTTTAAACCTTTATTACCACAGTTGCTGCCTCCTCCAGAAGCTTTGAATTTCAATGAGAGTTAAACTTTTGAGTTACAGGAAGGACCATGGTGGTTAATCATAAATTTCAAAATCAGTCTTTGGAAAAAAATATTTGGAGGGAACATCGTGTTCTGTTCTGTTAATAATTTATTTCATTCCAAATTAAAGTGGCAGTGGCATACTAAATATTGATACAGAAGCTAATATTGGGGGTGGCATGGTTATATGACTCTCTCTTAGATAGTGGCCTTTCCCACCTAAAGAACTCAAGGTAGATCTGGAATTCTGTCCTTAGGCAGGCAGGTGACACTGCAGCCTTCTATCCAAAAGAGCAGCTAGCACCAGCCTTTCCTGATAACTCAACAGTTTTGTATTCGTATTGTATGAACTTTTTAAGAAAAAGAATATTTTATGATTTGCACAGTATTATTTTACAGAAGGATATCAGAGCATCTACAATACAGAGCCCAGAGCAACATCTTCACTTGGGGGCTTTAAACTGTTCTTGAATTTTAACTGCATTCCATTTTCTAGCATGGTGATAATGCGTCCCTCCTTTGAGAGAAGGCGTTCCCTATCTGTATCTATCAAGATTTTTTCTTGATACACCCATGTCAGCTCTTATTAGTTATTTTGTACATATTTTTTTCTAAATAGAAGAAAGAAAAGTTATCACAAAATGTATTCTAACTCATGTCCTTTGTTTGACACTTCACAGAGTGACCCGAAAGTGTTTGTGTTTTTCAGTTCATGTGAACTGAGGTTAAATGAACCCAACTAGGAGCATGACTGAAAGGCCATCAGGGAGAAAGGAAAGGGAAGTAAGGACAGAGAGTGAATGGGAATGGATACGTGTGTGTGTGCATGCATGTGCGTTTAAATAAAATGATAGAATTCCTTGATTTATTAAGCTACTCAAATGTACTTTCTGAATTCCTAGTGTGATACCTTAGACTTCAGCTTGCTCTGGAACTTCTGAGTTTTCAATAAACACTTAATCTTCTTTTAGGAACAAAAGTTACCTCTGCTAAAACTTTCTGTGGTCCTATTTCCTCAACTGTTTACCTAAATTCTCTTCCATACATTCAGATACATCTTCTAAGAGGTGCCTGACTAAAGCTGGAGAAAAAAAGCAAGTGGTTAGGCTCTATTCATTCCTAATGCTAAAGTACTGTCCTCACATATATGTTGGAACCTGTTGCTTTCAGTACAAGAAACCTAAGGAAGACATATAGAGCTAAAACACTGTGATGTTATACATCAGTCCCAACATCGTGGTCCATCTCTGTTTAGTTCTTATTTCTATTCTTCCTGTTACATGAAAATGCCTCTGAACCAAGTTAAGCCCTTTTTGATATGATATGTCTGCTTAGGTGGCCCATGAGTGCTACAGAAGAACAGAAATCCTGAGAGAGAATCATTTGCAAACTCTGAGCTCTCTCCTCTCCTATACACTAAAAGTAATGTTTGCCTAAACACACAGCATTTTTGAAGAAAAGAAATAAAGTGATATATTTTATTTTTTCCTAAAATATCAAAAAATGCAGGTAGGCTAAAGCTGGGCAGTGTTGGCGCATGCCTTTAATCCCAGCACTGGAGAGGCAGAGGCAAATCTCTCTGAGTTTGAGGCCAGCCTGGTCTACAGAGCGAGTTCCAGGACAGGATCCAAAGATAAACAGAAAAACCCTGTCTTGAAAAACCAAAATAAAAATGGTGGTAGGCAAAATTGATTATTACCCATCTCATGTCACACTGAAAGACTATTGGCCTATTTGTTTGCCAAACTATATTTTGAAAAAAAATAGTTCAACAAAATGGCTCACATTACATTTGCATGCTTCTTTTGAGTTTGAGTCTGGGAAGATTACCTATAATTTCAAAATCTGTGGCTTTTGTTTCATAGTGCAGGATGTGTAGGGTATTAGAAGACAAGTTATGCTCTATGGCATACTACTATACATCAGTCAGAACTAAGGATTTCTCTGTACTCCATTCCAAGGCCCCTGATTTAGACCCCTTTGCATGATTCCATGATGTAAGTAGTGTCTTCACTTACAATTAAGCTACTTTAGCTAATTCACTTTGATTGCTGTTCTTGATCTAGAATTTGAGATTCAGTGCTCAGGTCTGTATTTCTCTACTTGTGTTTGATGCCAAGGACAAAGCTCTCTGACCATACAGGGCAAGTAGTGACCATAGGCTAAGAGAAACATGAATTCTGTGGCGAGTTTTTCTTCATTATTTTATGGATGTCAAAAACGCCTGAGAAAGTCAAGCTCACTGTAGAAGAGGACTGAAACAAAACAAGACTAATAAAGTGCTTTGATTTTGTACAACAATGAAACTCTTAACCTCATGAACATACACACTTCAATGGCATGTCCATTGCAGAACTTGATACACAGAACATTTTGTTAAAGTTTACCCAATAAATAGATGCCAAATTTCTCCCCAACTTGGCTAAAGAGAGACTGTGGCTTATTTGGAAATAAAGGAACCTGTAATAGTGCCTAAAGTAGCTTTTTTAAATGACATAGTTAGATACAGAGGGAGTGATGGCAAAGAATCTTCCCTAAGTAGTAATGACCTCTGAATGTCCAGTTGGTAAGGTGGACAGGAAGGCTTGGTAGCTCCAGTATTTGAAGAACATAAATATTGTTAATCTGTACTTGAAAGAAGAGGGTGTCATTGTAATGAATTATTAAGAACTATAATTAGTATTTATGTTTTGAAAAATTGACTTCATTCCCAATAACTACCAGCAGCAACAAGTGATATCTTAAAGGCAGACACATAATATACCAAATTCTCTAAGTTTATTTCAAGGACTGGGTTGCACTAGTGTCGCAATAGTGAGGATGTTCAAAAGATTTTTAAAAAATTAAAGTTATATTATCAAATTTGGCCTGACTCCTGTGCAAGATATTTCCTGAGAATCTAGAAAATAAAACTAAGTATTTGTTTACAATAACTGCATCCTAACTTTCCCTGCAGCTCTAGAGACCTTGGGCTTTATGTTATCACCTACAATCCCACCCAGCACATATGGGGAACCACCTAATGAGCTCATTAATGGAAAAAGACTTCTTAGTAGATCCTTGAGAAGTAACTTCAGAAACCAGCACTGCTAGCATATACAGCTACTGTACAGACAATGTAGCTCTGTTTGGGAAGTCCACACCCATAATCTTAAATATGTCTTACTTTTTTCCAAGGCACTTCTCTTTCTATTAGTCTGTTCTAAAATTGGTTTAAAATGTGTTCTCAAAGTTGATGAGATGGAACAATGGACAACGAGGCTTGCTGTCAAGCCAGATGATCTAAGTCCAATTCTGGGAACTCAAATGGAAAAAAGGAGAGAATTGATTCCCAAGGAGGCACCTCCATAAATGTCTATCTGCATTTGTAAACACACACACACACACACACACTTTTAAAAGATTTTCAATACCCCTCAGATCTGCTTCATACTGGCTCACCCTGAAATTCTTTCCTATGGCAAGGTCAGTCATCTGGTTTCACTTGAATGGAGTTTCTTAAAAGATAAAGGAAGTGCTCAGTGGACTTCCTGTATTGTCACTGCATGGATTAATAAGAGAATTAGACCATGATACCAAAAAGCGAAGCTTTATTCAAGATCTGCAGGGTGCCAATTTGTCAGGGTGTCCCCAAGAGAAAGGAAATCAGCCAGGCCAAAAGGAGTTTATAGGATGTTTTTAGTCAATAGGACAGTGGTGGGAGAGACTTGAGGAAAAGGGAACTTTAAAAGTCAAAAGGGATTGCAGTAAGAAACAATTTATGGAGGGAGGTCACTCTGGTCATTAGGATAGGAGGAGGCTGTGGTCAAGCTGTTCTGCTGAAACCAGTTATGAGAGCTGTAGAATGATCAGTTTTCATTTTCTTGAAGGGCCTGGGTCCCATATCAATAAGCAAGAGAATTTTTGAAACTTTTTTCAGGCTTGTGTTTTTAAAGGATCCTTTTGAATTGGTATGTACAGTAGCTCAAAGAAGTCAAAAATAGAGGTGTAATAACCAAACAAGACATTACTTTCTTCCTGAGATTCATTTTTTATTATGTGTATTATGCGTATGTCTGTATGTAGGGTGTGGGAGTACGTGCAGGTGATTGCAGGTCCCTGTGATTCTGAGACACTGACACGTGTGCTAGGAACCATACTTGATCCTCTGTAAGAACAGTGCATGCTCTTCACTGCTACACCATCTCTCCAGCCACAGGATGCTACTGTCTTGAGCAAAATGTCATGAAGCAGGGTGGCAATGACTGTAAAGAAAAGGCAGATGTGACATTCAGTCTGAGGATGCGCAGGGACAGGATCGCTCCTTTGGTCTGAGCATTCAGTAGAGGCCCAGTGGCCAGGCAGCAGCATCTCGCCCACCCACCACCTAATCCCCCCCACTGCATCATTGACTAAGGGAGCCACATGCCCCACCTGCTTCTGGAGGAAGAATGATGACCGGAGACAGGTCCAACCTGCACCTGGAGGAAGAGTGACCATTGGAGCCACAGACCCCACCTGCACCAACTAGAGAAAAATTGACTCTGGAGCCACAGGTCCCATATGTACCAATTGGAGGAAGAGAGACCCATGGAGGCCCAGGCTCCACCTGCACCGATTGGAAGAAGAGATGGGTAGACAGCAGTGTAAGAGGATATTCAGCAACATAAAGAGCAATATGGAAGCACCAGAAACTAGTACTTATACAAACCAAGATCTGAACATCCCAATACAGATGAAGTAGAAGGAAACAACCTTAAAAATAACTTGATGAAGATGATAGAGGCCCTTAAAGAGGAAATTTTTTAAATCCCTTAAATAAATAAGGAAAAGATAAACAAAAAGTGGAAGAAAACAATAAATCCCTTAAAGAAAGCCAAGACTTGAAAATTGAATTAAAGGCAATAAAGAAAACAGAAACTAAGGGAATTATGGGAGTAGAAAATGTAAGTAAATAAGCAGGAACTACAGTTGCAAGCATAACCAACAAAATGCAAGAGATGGAAAAGAGAATCTCAGGTGTTGAAGAGTGTGATAGAGGAAATAGATTCATTGATCAAAGAAAACATTAAATCCAACAAATTCTTAAGATCAAACATCCAGGATATGTGGGACAACATGAGAAGACCAAACCTAAGAATAATAGGGATAGAAGAAGGAGAAGAATTCCAGCTAAAAGGCACAGAAAATGTATTCAACAAAATAATAGGATAAAACTTTGCCAGCCTAAAGAAGGATATACCTATGAAGGTACAAGAAATTTACAGATCACAAAATAAACTGGATGAAATAAAAAGTCCCCTCACCATATAATAATCAAAACACTAAACCTACAGAATAAAAAATGAATGTAGAAGATGCAAAGGAAAAAGGCCAAGTAACATATAAAGGCAGACTACCAGAATTACACCTGACTTCTCCATGGAAACGCTAAAAGCCAGAAGGTCCTGCACAGATATTCTACCAACACTAAGAGACCACGGATGCCAGCCCAGACTACTATACCCAGCAAATCTTTCAATCGCCATAGATGGAGAAAAAATACTCTATGACAAAACCAGATTTAAGCAATATCTATCCACAAACCCAGCCCTGGAGAAAGTACTATAAGGAAAACTCCAACCTAAGGAAGTTAGCTACACCTAGGAAAGAACAGGCAGCAGATAACCTCATTCCAGCAAATCTCAAAGAAGGGAAACATACAAACAGTACCACCACCACCACCACCACCAATAAAACTAAATGTAATGGGAATTAACAATCACTGGTCATTAATATCTATTAATATCAATGGACATAAAAATGGAGAAATCTCACACTACCAACTTAACAGCACACCTGGAAACTCTAAAACAAAGAAGAAAATTCACTCAGGAGAAGTACATGCCAGGAAATAATGAATTGAGGGCTGAAATCAATAAAATAGAAGCAAAGAGAACAATACAAAGAATCAATAAAAGAATTAGTTCTTCAAGAAAAATCAACAAGACAGATAAACCC